CTGTACTGGGTGGGCCAGACGCGGTCAGCAAAGGCTGTGCTACGTGGTGGCGGACGCATGCGAGCGGTGCCACTGGGACCTTCGGTGGAGCTCCCTATGGGGCCACGAAACGCTGTACTGGGTGGGTGAAACGCAGGCAGGGAACAAGGGCTGTGCAGGGTGGTGGCGGACGCATGCGGGCGGTGCCGCTGGGACCTTTGGTGGAGCTCCTTATAGGGCTACGAAACGTTGTTCTGGGTGGGTGAAGCGCAGGGAACAAGGGTTGTGCTGGGCGGTGGCGGACGCAAGCGGGCAGTGCTACTGCGACCTTTGGTGGAGCCCCCTATGGGGCCACGAAGCGTGCGACGGGTGTGCCAGACTGGGGTGTAGAACCGCATGCCAGCGCAGCCACTGGGGCCTTCGGTGGAGCTCCCTATGGAGCCACGAAACGTGTGAGGGGTGTGCCGAAATGGGGGGTGAAACCGCATGCGAGCGCAGCCACTGCGGCGTTCGGTGGAGCTCCCTATGGGGCCACGAGACGTGTGAAGGGCGTGCCGAAAAAGAACCGCATGCGAGTGCAGCCACTGGGGCCTTCGGTGGAGCTCTCTATGGGGCCACGAACCGTGTGAGGGGTGTGCCGAAAGGGGGGGGGGAACCACATGCGACCGCAGCCACTGGGGCGTTCGGTGGAGCTCCCCATGGAGCCGCCCACGAAGCGTGTAAAATGGGGTGCGCATGCGACTGGGGCCTTCGGTGGAGCTCCCTATGGGGCCACGAAACGTGTGAGGGGTGTGCCAGAATGGGGGGTGGAACCGCATGCGGGCGCAGCCACTGGGGCCTTCGGTGGAGCTCCCTATGGGGCCACGAAACGTGTGAAGGGGTGTGCCAGAATGGGGGTGGAACCGCATGCGGGCGCAGCCACTGGGGCCTTCGGTGGAGCTCCCTATGGGGCCACGAAACGTGTGAGGGGTGTGCCAGAAAGGGGGGTGGAACCGCATGCGGGCGCAGCCACTGGGGCCTTCGGTGGAGCTCCCTATGGGGCCACGAAACGTGTGAGGGGTGTGCCAGAATGGGGGGTGGAACCGCATGCGGGCGCAGCCACTGGGGCCTTTCGGTGGAGCTCCCTATGGGGCCACGAAACGTGTGAGGGGTGTGCCAGAATGGGGGGTGGAACCGTATGCGGGCGCAGCCACCGGGGCCTTCGGTGGAGCTCCCTATGGGGCCACGAAACGTGTGAGAGGTGTGCCAAAATGGGGGGTGGGCGGGCGCAGCCACTGGGGGGCCTTCGGTGGAGCTCCCTATGGGGCCACGAAACGTGTGTGTGTGTGCCAAAACGTGGGATGGAACCGCATGCGGGCGCCGCCACTGGGGCCTTCGGTGGAGCTCCCGATGGGGCCACGAAGCGTGTGAGGGGTGTGCCAGAATGGGTGTGGGAGGGGGAGGAGGGGGGAGGAGGGAGGGAGGAAGGAGGCGGGAACGCGGGGCACCGTCTCTTCAAAACGAGGACCCAACACCACAGGATGGTTGGGAAAAAGCTGTTGGAATACGCATGGGCGTCTTCTTCTCACGGGTTACTGCCATCTCGGACAGGAGACGGCCAATCTCTTGCGGACTTCGAACAGAGGCAGGAAAACGTCGCAGGCTCTCAAGAGAAGGGGTTCTTGGCCGGCAACAGAAACCATCGGGTCATCGCGCTGGACGAAAGGACCATCGTTATCAAACGCATCATCTTCGCATCCGGAATCTTTGTCAGATACATGAGACACAGAGCGTGCAGGAGCAGCATCAGACAAAAGGGGTATCAATGAACTGCTCACAAAACAATGGCTGCTCGGTGTGCTCGGGCTTGGAAGAGGGACGAGCAGCGGAGGCGGCAGACATAGAAGCAACGGGAGCTACCCCTCCCGCAACACCGGCCGCCCCACGTGACTTTCCCTTCTTGCTCTTGTCCTTGGTACGTCCCTGCTGCACTTGTTCTGTGTCCTGGGGAGAATGACCAGGGAAATACGCCTTGCAGAAATTACAGGTCCTGCGGGAATTGGAGAGGAATATCCAAGAGACGGTACCAGCATCGCAACAGGCAGAACACGTAAGGTATGGCGGCATCTCGCGCGCGCGTGGCACGAGAGTTCAGCTGTCGCCCTGGGGCGGCTCTCGAGCCTGCCCCTTGACTGCAGCCAAGCTCTAAGTCTCAGGGCAAGGTTTGGAACTTGAGCCAAATGGCTACGGAGGGGAGGGGGAGGAGGTGGAGGAGGAGGAGGAGGCGCGGAGGAGGGGAAGGAGGATGAGGAGAATGAAGGGGAGAGGGGGAGAAAGCAGGAGGAGGATGAGGAGGAGGAGGAGATAGAAGGGAGGAGAGGAGGAGGAGGAGGAGGAGGAAGGAGGAGGAGGAGGGAGGAGGAGGAGGAGGAGAGGAGGAGAGGAAGGAGAGGGGAGGAGGAGGAGGAAGAGGAGTAAGAGGAGGGGAGGATAGGCGGAGGAAGGATGAGGGGGGGGAGGAGGAGGAGGAGGAGTAAGAGTAGAAGGATGATGATGATGATGCTGCTGCTGATGATGATGATGATGAAGAAGAGGAGGAGGAGGAGGAGGAGGAGGAGGAGGAGGAGGAGGAGGAGGAGGAGGAGAGAGGAGGACGGGTCGCCTGCGTAAGCCCTTCGGAGAAACCCTCCCACCCCCTCCTTGCAAGTAAACTTGGTCGAAGCAGTCTTCCGTCGTCGCTCTGTCTTTTTCCCGCTGGGCCCGGCAGAATCCTGGCGTCCGGGGCTTCGCAAACGGGGGTGTGATCCAAACGGGGGCCGAGGCTTTTCCACGTACCCCCGTTCACTGTACCCCCGTCTGCGGCACCCAGTGCCCCCCTGAACGGGAGCTGACCATCGCTCGGACGTCCATTCCCTGTGTTTTTGTTCGATTTCGTGCGTGGTTTTTCCGCCAAATGATCAAGGATGCTCCTCGATGGTCCTCGCCGAAGGAAAAATGCACACGTCCGAGCGATGCCAAGGGGGCATGGACAGACGTGGAAGTCGGCGCTCCCCGCAGCCCCGTTTGCCGCGCCCCCGTCGCTGGCGCCCCGACGGCGTGCCGCGCCGCGCGGTTTTCTCCGGGGCCCAGACCTCGGGCGCGCGGCTCGGGGGCCGCAGGGGGAGGGGGGGGGGGGGGGTCCGCGGGGCCTCGGGGAGGGAGGGGCCGGGCCGGCATCGGCGGAGGGGCGGTCGGAGATGGGGAGAAGTAGAGATGATACCGATCATGTGAAAAATGACGCTGCGACTGAGAAAACAAGGGCAATGTGGATACACGAAGGAAAAGAGAATGGCACGAATGGTTAAAACAGCCCTTCGGAATAAGTTGGTCTGGCGATCTCTTGCTTCCCGAAGAAGAAATAATGGAACGAGTCATAATAACAGCCCTTTGGGATAAGGTGGTCTAGCGATATCTTGCTTTCCTGGTCCGAAAACCCTCTTACCTTCGGGGAGGGCTACCCTCTTCCTTTCCGCCCTGAGGTTTGTCGGGGGGGCTCCGCGATCGGTCAGGGCGTCCAAGATGGCTCCGAGAGGGCCTCCGGTGCTCCAAGATGACCTCCCAAGATGGTTCAAAATAGCTTCCGACTTGACTCCAAGAGGCTCGACGAGGGCCACAAGACGAATCCAAGTGCTCTCGGAGCCCCCTCAGGACCACCCAAAGATGCGCCAAAACCTTCAAGATTGCCCCAAGATGGCCCAAGAAAGCCCCATGATGTGCCCAAGAGGCCACCAAGACGGCCCCTATAGCGCCCAAGATCAATCCAAGAGCGCCACAAGGGGCGATTCCAGACCCCTTTATTTTCTCCGGCGCCCTCCACGATAGCCCCGAGAGGCGCTCCAGGGTTCCCAAGAGAGCCCCAAGAGAGCCCCAAGACCATCCAAAATAGCCCCAAGGGGAACCCAAGACCCCCCAAGAGAGCCCCAAGAGGGCTCCAAGAGGCGGTTTTGAGGGCTCTGTCGTTGTCCTCGTTGTTCTCCTCCTCCTCCTCGTCCTCGTCCTCGTCCTCGTGCTTGCTCCCATCGTCTTCCATTTCCTTGTTCTTTTCTTCCTCGTCGTCGTGGTCGTGGTCGCTGTCGTTGTCTTCCTCCTCTTCCTTCTCCTTCTCCTCCTCCTCCTCCTCCTCCTCCTTCCCTCGCCCCCAAGCGGGCCCCAGGAATGGCCCGAAGATGCCCTCCAAGGCAACCCCCTTGCTCCAGAGATCTCTCCGTTCACCCTGGCTGCCCGCCTTGTTTCACTATATGTGTTGCTTCGTCTTTATTCCCGTCAGCTCTCATGGGCAAGGTTTCCGAATGGGCTGATGGGGATTCGCGGGACGTGGAGAATTTGAGTAGCCTTCCCCAAACGGTGCTTGCACTCAGGGCTTCTTACTTGTCTTCTAAGGAACGGACCTTCGGGCCGCTTTTGCCGCTTTGTGGCCGCCGTCGCCGCCTCTTCGTCACCCGTCGCCCAGGCCTTCGGGCCATCCTGGCCGCCATGTGGCCGCCGTTGCCGCCTTCTCGCCGCTCGCCGCCGCCTCGTCGCCGCCCGTTTCGCAGTGCTTCGCGTCGCTTCGAACTGCATTGCATGGCTTCGAATTGCTTTGCCTTGCTTTGCGTTGCGCTGCGTTGCGCCATTGTCAATCGCAGTGCGTTGCGTTGCTGAGCATAGTTTTGCGTTCCTTGGCCTCGCCTTGCTTTGCATGGCCCTGTACTGCGTTGCTGCCCTGCGTTGCGTTGTACTGCTTCGCGGTGCTTGCCATCGAGTTGTGTCGATGTGCGTTGCCCTCCCCAAGACGTGCTTGCACTTAGGGAAATCTTGCGCCGCTTCCGAGGAGGAGGAGGAGGAGGAGAAGGACGAGGAAGTTCGAGGATCGAGGAGGATCGAGGAGGAGGAGGAGGAGGAGCGAGGATCGAGGATAATCACACGAGTCAAAGAGGAGGATCGAAGACCAAAGAGGATCTACCAATATCTCCCCCCTCCCGAGACACGAGACGCGGCCAGTCGGGGGGGGGCGGCGGCGGCGCCTCCCCGCCGCTGGGCTGGACTCCGACGGGAGCTGCGGCACCTGGAACACCAAGGGCGGCGGCGCATCCGTCAGCGCGGGCGGCGCCAGCGCCAGCTCCCGGTGGGCGGCGGGATGCGCCTGCGGCCGCGGGATCGCCACGGGCTCGATGGCTTGTGATGTCCCTCGGCTCGCGCGGGGCCTGCTACGATGCGTACCGGGTTTGCCGCGACATTTATTGATACAAGCAGATGTGTGTGTATATATATGTATATATATACACGGGTCGGGCGAAAGGGGGGGATAGCAAAGGGGGGGTTTGAGAATCAGCTCACGCAGCTGATTTCCCCGGCGCCTACCGGCACCGGAGGCGGCCACGCATCGAGGAATGGGCCCCTCGGTGAAGCCGACACCAGCTGCATGCAGCAAATTTCGTAACCCCCCCTTTCCCAATCCCCCCCTTTCGCCCGGCCCGATACACACATAGATATACAGCCATTCGCGAACATAGAGTATTTCGGGATAACATATTAATTTAATTTAAGCCAATCTCAACACACATGCATATATATATGATATCGGAGGTTGCGGGTGGGATCGAAGTGGAACAAAGATCCCCCCACCGAGAAATCGGTTTCGGTTTCGTGTTCGTGCGTGCCGCGCGTGCGGGCGAGGCGAAGCTGCGTGGGCGGGCGAGAGGAAAGTCTCCTGTGGCTGAGGCGCGGCCGGACCAAATGATTCTCCCTCCGGCAAGCGGTGGCCCGCGGTGTCCCGTCAATGTCTCGCTTGTGGCTGGGCCCCGGCCGGACCAAATGATTCTCCCTCCGGCAAACGGTGGCCCGCGGTGTCCCGCCGGTGTCCCGCCGGTGTCCCGGTGTCCCGCTGGTGCGAAAACGATCGTCAAACCGATGACGAAATCGATTGTGAGATCGATAGTGAGATCGATAGTGAGACAGATGGTGAGATCGATCGTGAGATCGATAGTGAGATCGATCGTGGCATGAATCGTGGTATCGATTGTGAGATCCAGTGATACCGATAGGGAGATCGTTAGTGGGATCGATAGCGAGATCCATGGTGAGATCTATCGTGAGATCGATCGACTGGGATCGATAGTGGGATCGATGGTCCATCGATCGTGAGACCGATAACAACATCGCTTGTGAGATCGATAGAGAGATCGATAGTGAGATCGATGGTGGATCGATCGTGAGACCGATAACGACATCGCTTGTGAGATCGATGGAGAGATCGACCGTGAGGGATCGATAGTGAAATCGAAAGTGAGATCGATCGAGTGAGATCGATAGTGTGATCGATCGAGTGAGATCGATCAAGGTTCCCACGAGCGAGCGGCAACGCAACAATCACCACTGTTGCCCATTGCTGGCCCCCCTCCCCCCCTATCACCCGCAGGGTGGTCGTATAGGTCTACAAGACTTGAGGAATCGCTTCGCTTCGCCTCAAATCTTGGTCCTGCGTCCAAGCATTGCCTGGTGTCTGACTGCGGGCGCATCGGTGCGGAAAGATCACGACCACGAGGGGGTACGGGTAATTGGCTGGGCGAAGCCCATCGGCATGCTCATGCCGTGAGGGCAGGGCTGCCACGAGGGCGAAGGTGAGGAGCTCGATGGCGGGGTATGCCATTATCACACTTGGGGTGGCGACTATGAGGTCGATCGGGGTGCACGTCATGGCCAACAACGGTGTGAAGGTCATGGCCAAGCGGTGCCTGGACCAGTGCCAAGATGCTGATGGCTTGAAAAGTGATCAGTGAGATGAGCGCAAGGGGGGGGGAAGGTCGCGATCCGAGAGGGGCCACAATCACAACGTACCTTAATGGACGTTGATGGCATCGCTATGATACTGGGGGAAAGGATCGCAAACGGAAATCATCTTGAAGGGGCGAGGGTGGTAACCGTGAGCTAGGTCTTGGTCGTGATAGTGAGGGTGTCAAGGCGTCTGTGCAAGCCGCTTAGAGGCCTCGCGGTTTCTCGGGCCCTCTTGGAGGCCGATCGGGGCACATGGCACCGCTTGCTCTTGGAAGCCTTGGCGTTAACAGCTGCTGTTAGCTCTTGGGA